ACCTGTTACACACTTGGCTTCGTGGGGTTTCCCTGCACATGTGTTGTTAGCCTGCAGTCCGAGAGCATCCTGCAGCCTGCATGCTGATTGCCAGGTTACTTCTGCACATGTCTTTCTGTCTGCTCTCAGTTTTTTCAGTATGCTGACTAACAACTTCCAAATGCATCATGATCCCCAAACTCTTATGACTCCCCAGTTTAGATTTTTTTTTCCCAGTTTAGATTTTTATCATTCTGCCTGTGCTCTATCTCCATTCAGTCCAGGCCTGGGTGTGCCATCAGACAAATAACCAGTACTGGAAAATTCGAAATACACAGTAGAGTTGGAACATGCTCTGATAACCACAGTGATATCGAAAAGGGAGCAATGTGCTTTGGGGGATGTTTGTCAGCTTGTCTGAACAGCTGGCTTTTACAAACTGCAGACTTGCCAGTTGTGAATACTGATGTGATCTCAACAGCATTCAAGAAGACACAAGTCTCAGGATAAGTCACTTTTGCAAATCTCATGAGCCTAATTTTAAGGTCCAATTTAATAATAGAGATTCAGGAATAAAACTTTCTGTAGAACCAAGAGAGGCAAGTAATAATACAAATTTTGCTAGAAATTAGGACATACATTAAATGTTTAATGGCACCATGCTAAGATAAGTATTGACTTCTGAAATGGACTGGTATAGGATTAATTTCATACAGCTATGGTCACATTTGTAATAAGACAAGACTCTTGTTTTTTTTATTATTATTTGTTATGTGCTTTTTTAAGCTCAGTGACTGACAACTCCTTTTATAAATACTATAGAGCTGATATTTCATGAAAACAAAGCTTCCCTAGAACTTTCCTACTTTCAATGAAAATTTTATATTTTCCTCAGGTCTTCAATTATTTATTGGTCATTTCTTTTTTCAGTAATTAATGAGTGATTTCTTTACACTGGAAATTTGATGGAAAATTACACTACAGTTTTCAGCTCATGAATCTTACGGTAGTAAGAAAACAAAAGTGGATGACAATTGAAACCCAGTATTCTTAAAATGTTACCTAGTGACTTGGAAGTCATGTATGAAGGACACTGAACTTACTCTTAAGGGATGGGTTAAATCCTTCCTGATGAGATAATCTCTAATTTAAATCAGGAGATAGAGTGCAGATTAGGTTGACAAAATTGGAATAGGAAAGTGTTTCCAACAGAAGCTCGAGTTAAGAAGTGTGGCAATGTGGCACATGCTTGGAACTGTAAGTATTTCTCTATGTTTGGAACTTAGAGTGTGAAAAAGAGAGTGGGAAGAGATGAAGAGCATTACTGGAAATTTCAAACAGTGAAGAAACATAGTGAAATCTGTGGTATTGGGAGATATTACTCACCAAAAAGTGGATTATAGGCTATAAGGTGAGGGTAGAGGCAAGAGAGACATGGAACCTGAGTTGCTAATTATGTGGTGGCTAAAATATTCCATGTGAAAGATAATTCTGGTTTGAACAAAGGTAATTTCAGACATCACAAAAATCAAAACACAGATGCAAGATATATGAAAATGTAAAACTGACAAGATTTGATTATAAACTGGGGCGGGGGGGGGGGGAGAAGGATGAAAGGAAAATTGACGTTCCTTGAGGATAAGTCCCAGCTTGTGATTTCAGTGACTGAGTGAATGGTGTCACTGGATGGGAAATGTGCTGAGAAGGATTTCAGTGAAAACAATGAATTTCAAAATCATTTGGAAGGAAAGTTCAAAGGAGATGTTTCCAAACAACCAGATGTTGGTTGAGAAGAGTTTGGAGCTCAGAAAAGAAGTCTGGGCTGGAAATGTGTTGTAAGAGTCATTCACCATAATCATGGTATCTAAATGTTGAAGTCAACGTCCAAGAAATAGAATTAGAGGGCAAAAAGATAAACTGAGAAGTAATCAGAGAAGCAATAGTCAACGGTGTTAAGAGGAAACTCGGATTGTAATTGGTAGAGAAAATTACAGACATATTTCAACTGTGCCTGCTGTCGAGAGACAAATAATGCATGGACTGAAAACAAATGTTCATTGAATGTAACAGTAAGTGATTTTTGTAAAGCTTACTAAAGGATTGAGTTGAGAGCACATTTTAGTGTACTTGGAATTAAATGCAGTGGAGGGGATTAAGAGACTAAGTGTAGAAAACTTACTCTAAAGACTACATTTGCAAGGAGAAAGTGATAGCTAGAGGAATATTTGAAGTTGAGAGAAAATTACCTACAAATAAGACAAAATCCTTAAGTTATGTCAAAATTTAAATCAGATATTTCATTGCTTTCCAAGATTGCTTTGAATACCTTGATTTGCAGTTGTTGGCAATACATATAGTAGGGAATAAGGGAAATGAAGGGTAGAAAAAATGTTGGAAGAATATGTAGAGGAAAAGTGAGATGAAGAGAGGAGAAAGGAGAACTATATAAAGAAGAGATTTCCAGTAAATATCACAATTAATAAGGGAACAGACATTACACAAACACTAATGATTGCAAAACATGAATCAAGAAATACAGTATCATAGAATCCTAGGAAGAACATTTCGAAAGGGAGGGAATGAAGACATCAGATGTTGTCAAGTGAAAATTATGAACAGGGCTTAAGAAATTTTTTTGTGTGATAACTTATCTGTGAGAGCAGAAAAAGAAATAGGTCATAACTAGTGAGTGAGACCAAATCTAAAGAAAGATTGCTGAAAATCATTTATATCCAACTCAAATGTGATTTTTTTTCTAAGAAAATTTATCTGAAAAATCCAGAAATAACCTATTTTCCTTTTCTTAATGCTTCTGCAATGCACTCTTTTGTGTAATTCCCATGTGACCAAGCATTTTTACTTTTTTGTAATTTAGCCCAGAGAAATAAAGACTAATGTTTATAATAAAAACATCTATATGTACTTGTTTATAGTATATTTATTAATAGTTGCCACAACAACAAAATAAAACCTAAAAGCACAACCTACTTGTCCTTCAAGGGATAAAGGCCTAAGCACAGAGTGATATAAGCAAATATTGGAACATGCTACATAGTAACATAAACATCAAGTGCAAAAACAGTCACCCTAAACAGGCCTTCCTACACAGGATTTTATGCATGTGACTTTCTTAAATTGACAGAGTTATAGAGTGGGGAACAGATGAGTGGTTTCCAGTGTTTAGGGAGTTGGATGTGGAAGAGATATGAGGGTAGCTATAAATAGAATATATGCTATTCTGAAATTGTGAAAATATTCTATATCTTGACTATGTCAATATTATTATCTCAGTTGTGATAATTCGCAATAGTTCTGCAAGATCTTCCATTGGTGGAAATTGGATAAAAGGTACATAGGATCTTCCTCTATTTCCTATAACAACATGGAATACTTTAAATGTTTCAACATAAAGAACTTATTTGTAAAAAAAAAAAAAAATACTGTAAGCCAAAAAATAGTAGGTTAAAATTGTGGAAATAGACTACTTCGAAGGTCAGATTGACTTATGGTTGAAACCTGAATCTGCCATATTTTTTTTTTAAAGATTTATTTATTTGTGCATACAGAACTTGGGTACAGGCCAGAGGCCCAGGGCAGTGAGAGGATTCACCAGAGACAGAATGGGGAATAGAACAGGCAGATCGACGAAGTATACTGCTGAGGGGAGCAGCGGGCAGTCAGGAGAGGTCTGCCACGCCATGTGGTCACCTCCGGGGCAAGCGGGAATCGAACTCATGCGGAAGCAGCTTTAGATTCTCAGTGCTGTGCTTTAACCCGCTGCGCCACCAGGGAGGGCCTGAATCTGCCATATTTTAGCTATATAAACTCTACTTGACTGAGCCTTGAATGACGATCACCAAGATAATCTTCACCATAAGCAAACCCATGGACAGTGGTCACTACATGCTAGAACTGCTATAAACCCTTTCTATATGTTAACACATTTTAGTTTCTGAACAGCCCTATCAGGTGGAATCATCATAATCATAATTTAAATATTGATAAACTGAGGAATAGAATGGAAAAATTAATTCACTGAGCCTACATTGTGACTAACTGAATGTAAATTTAAGCCCAGGCAGTCTTCCTGGGTTGATAACTACACCTAAGACATTTATGGTTCTCAATCAAAAGTGAAAAAGGAGACTCCACCCTCAATGTACCAATGCTTAACAGTTACAGCACAGGCTATCAAAGTGTTTAAAAATATGTATTTTCTCCTTCCATTGTTGATAAAGATAGTGTATAAGCACTTAAAAGACTAGGTTTGAATTGTAAATGTTCCGACTCTGAAGAGTTCTGCCCTCTAAGCTCAACCTACCTTCTTCTCATTCTGTCTGTGGTATTATCTCACACACTAAGAGTCTTTATTACACAGAGTAGAGACCCCTACCTGCAAATTCAAGTCTGTGCACACTCAGGGTTAAAGATATGCAAAGTGCTGAGTCAGCATGTCTTTAATATATGCATTTGGGAGCTGGGACTGAGCAAACCCTGGAAACAGAGCCTTCAGACAGGGAATTCCAGGGTCCTGAGTTAATAATCAAATCTAGAAGGGGAATAATTGGTTTCAAGCAGAAGAGCCTTCAGCTCCATAGAAATCCTGCCCTTCATGCCTCCAGGAGGAGGTACAGGCTAAAGAGACCCAAATCAGGGTCCAGTGTGGGGGCTCCTCTTAACCAGGTCTAAGGTGACAGACTCACTGAAACAGGAATGATGCACCCCTTCACCCCTTCCTTAGTCTCAAAGATGACTGCATTTATATGATATCCGTCATGGGTATGTGCAAAATGTGCACCACACTGCACTAGAGGGCCAATGTGGCTCTTATGTTTTATATCTATAAATTTCTATATATGTGTTTTCTATATGTGTTATATATGCATATGTGTTATATATTTGTTTTATAAATATTATTTTATATATGTATATATATTTGCTGTGGTATTTTAGTATCCAGTGAAATATTTTCTCAACATTAAGAATTTGTAATTAAAATATGTTACTTCTCTTGTTGGTAGATGGACTGGAGACTTTTACCAGATTTCTTAAAACTGAATTCAGTGAGGAAAATATTGAATTTTGGATTGCCTGCGAAGACTTCAAGAAAATCAAAGACCCTAATCAAATTCTCCTTAAAGCAAAAGCGATATATGAGAAATTTATACAGAGTGATGCTCCACAAGAGGTATAGTAAAAATAGTAAAAAAGTTACAATTATATTTGAAAATTATTTGAGCATGTTATTTTCAAATTGGTGCCCCTGATGAAAAGTCAGAATTTTGGTAGAGCAAAAATGTTGACTATTTATATAAATTTCTACATGGCAACACATTGCCCAGGAAGGAAGGCATAATAAAAGTCACTCTTTGTGTTATTTTTTCTAGACTAAAAGTAAATACAATTCATCATAATGTTTTGATTCATTCACTTATCATGTTAATCATCTTAGGATAGGCAATTTCATAGTAATGAAAATTTCTATAAGTGATGAAAGTAAGAGAAAACAAAGTTTGTATTATGTAAAGTTTTAGTGCTAACATCCTAAAATTGATAATTTCACGTGGAAAAATATACACATAGAAAATGCTCTTCAAGCATTTCAGAGCAAACAAAAAGCTCTGAACTGGTTATCATTTCACCTTAAGATAGACTAAAATAAAATATCAGAATAGACAAGGTAACCCCAATATGGCAAGGGTTGAAGAGAAAAAACAATTGTTACTTTCTTTGAGTTCAAGCTCAGTATGAGATCATTATGAGAGACAATTGCCAACACTAGCAAAGTTACTTGACTATTCCCAAATAGGAACTAGTTTCAAAATTTCTATTACATGCATAAAAAATTGCATCTCTTCATTGAAGTGATAAAGGTGATAGTCTGTCTCTTTAAGCATTTTGTTTGGAACGCTTGAAGAGCATTTTCTATGTGTATATTTTTCCACGTGAAATTATCATTATTCTAGTTTTGGGATATGTTTCAATATGTTTTGTGTTTCAATGTATAAATATGTTTACCCCAAGGATCCTCTCAAACACAGATAGAAAAAGCTGAGGTGTGGAAGGGACAGCTTGCATAGCATTACCCATGTGGAAAGGGAAAGTCCCATCTTTAGAACACCGTCAGAACAGGATATATTTTCAGTCCTTTCAAAGGACTTAGTCCTCACATTCCAATCAAAGGTCTTTATATCTGACAGAGAGACTCAATTTCAGCAAGCATTTGCTGTAGGAAAGCAGAGTAATATAATGAAAAGAAAACCGGTATAAAACAAAAACCACACACTGAAATTCCAAAGATGTTCCCACACTCACTGCCCTCACTCCAACTTCTATGGAGTTTAGTTTCCACTTTGAGAAGGAATTGGACCAAATGGTCTCAATAATGCTTAGTTTTAACATATTCCAGTATTCTAAATTAGTAGAGAGAGCAAGAAGGACCAGGAGCATATAGAGAGAACAGTCAGGTGACATGACCAAAGTAAATCATTGGATCCCTAACCCCCAACAGGAAAGGGTGCCAGCACACACACACACACACACACGCAGGCACACACACACACACACCCCTCAGTCATCCCAGTAGTGGTGCAGTTCTCCATTATTCATAGCTTAAGTAGACTAGGTTTGACTTTAAAATTCTCAGGCTCTTCACAGCTTCCTTTTTTTTTTTTCTTATGATACAGGTTAATCTTGATTTTCACACCAAAGAAGTCATTAGTAAAAGCATCACCCAACCCAACCTCCACAGTTTTGATGCTGCCCAAAGCAGAGTGTATCAGCTTATGGAACAAGACAGTTACACGCGTTTTCTGAAATCTGACATCTATTTAGACTTGATAGAAGGCAAACCTCAGAGACCGACAAATCTAAGAAGACGCTCTCGCTCATTTACCTACAACGAATTCCAGGATGTAAAGTCAGATGCTGCCATTTGGTTATAAAAAAAAAATCATTTTTATTTTATTCATTTTATGGGTGGCACATTTGTTCATCTACTTCTAAGATTTAAAATTTTTCTGTCAACAAATGACACATCTTTTAAACAAACAAAAAAACACCATGCAAAAGGGTTTTTAATATGTAAATAAAAACTACTGTCCCAATAATACTATTGTACCTACCAATAAATACATATTTAACCTACCATTACAGTCTATAAATCTTTCCATTAACTTTAGTCCATTCATAATTTAAAAAGTTACTACTCCATTATAAAAGCAATATTTAAGCTTTTGCAAAATTGTTAAGTGCTTGACAGTATATCTAGTTTGAATTTTTTTAGATGTAAACAGCAAAATACTAAGATAGCCATCTGTTCATACAATATTTTCCATGATATTAACAGCTTCCCTTCTTTTCCCTCCCCTTCCTTCCTTTCCCTTTGTCTTTCTCTTTTCTCTCTCTCTGTCATAGAAGTGATCCAGATATAATCTGATCATTTGATCTTGGATTACTAACTCTATAACATGAACAGCAATGTATCCCTTCTAGTTATAAGCCAGCAGTGGAGCTTTGTGGGGAGTTCATCTCTATAGAATTTATCTTCTATAGAACTGGTTGGTTCAATGCAATTTAAGCTGATACCTGAGAATGGCATCCACATTTAGGTTAATTCCTAAGTGAGCATGGCCTTAGCCAGTTATGTGGACACCCTTCTGCTGGCCACAGAAACATGACGAGGTGGGGCCCAGTGCCAAGTTGGGACTGCGTGGGACAATATCATCGTGAAAAGTACTTGCTACAGAAAGTGGACAGTCAGTGCCGTGGCTTTTGTCCAGAGGAGATTTGTCCAGGAGTATATACTTTCCCATTTTGGACTGCTGCTGTTGGGATTAAAATTAGAAATGAATGATGGTAAATAAGCATAGAAGATCCTGAAGACGCAGGCCTTGGCCTCATTGGCTGATGTTCCCACATGGATCATGTTTTCATTCCACATCTCACTGACTCATTTAATACTATATTATTCAAATTTGATTATGCTAATAAATTGATATGTTTCAACTATAAGGGACATTAATTTTAGATATGCATTTAGATATGCATGATCTGTAAATGTTAGTATTTAAAGATGTCATATATTTGGTTTGATTAGTATGATTTTAGTCAAAATGTAAAATGTGAAAACTGCAGTTCACCACTCTAGTAGCAAATGTTTTAATTTCTTCTTTCATACAATTAATGTTTATTTGACCACTAAGTGCTTTCACTGATTATTGATTATCTTAATGTTTTTAAATTAGACATGCCCTGGTTTCAGAAGGATATTAAGGTAGAAAGCATTAAAGGAGGTCTCTTCTCACTGATCTTAGAGCTAAATCAATTCCTTGTGCTGCTGTATATATGAAAACTATCTTATGTTTCAAAGGTCAACAAGATAGTCATTATTCTTTTGTTTGGCTAATTTATATTTTCTTTTACTGTAGACTTGTCTCTCTAAAGTGCTTCATTGCTTTATCCAAAGAGTTAAGATAAAAACTTTACAATTTTATCAGAAAAATCATAGGTAGATTTTAATAGTAATGTTCTCAGACCACAGATAGCATTATGTAGCTTTCTCCTTTGTAACACTTTTCAGAAGGATCAAATCACTTGCTTAAAAATTATACAATAATAAATGAGACCCTTCAAAAACATGCCCAGTCTTTTTAATCTGATCCCTGACCTCAAATTGTTGTGTCTGTGGAGGGTGTAACAGTGCAACCGAATGTGGGAAAGAGTGATCGGAAAAATGAAAAGTCAAGTGACAATATTCAGATCATTCAGAGTTCTGGACGAAGGAATTGCAGAAATAGTGAAGGCAAGTGATAACGTGGGGGTGTCGGGCACCTGGCTCCTTCACCCGACGCAGAGCCTCATCAATGCACTAACTTTCAAGCTTCCTCACCATCTTAAAATAATAAAGGCGTGGGCTTTGCCTTCTGTACTCTAACAGTCCCAACACTTATTGATTCTATCACCTGATATTCTCCAAAGCCCCTCTTGATTGATGTCCAAATAAGAAAAAGAGCAAGTGTGTGATTAATGAAGGAAAATTCCAGATTAAAAATTAGTATGGGACATTGGTCTAAGAGGAAACAACTTTGTAGAAAACTTAGATATACATGAAAGGAAAGAAATCACAGGAAATACAGCTTATTTTTTTTTTGGCTAGTTATATGCATAAGACCAGAGGGTGTTTAAGAACAGAGCTGAGTTGAATTGGATAATATGGTATATCTAGAAGTCCACAGACAAAAGTCAACACGAAGCTTGTTAAATTTTGTGTAATCCCAGAAGCTTCACACATCATCTTGGAGTCAAATGGAAGCTCAAGGAAGGAATGTGGTATCCCAGTAAAGGCTTTCAAAGTGTGGCATATATTTTTTTTTATTACAAAAGTTTATTTTTACATCGAGTGTGGCATATTTTTATGTGAATGCTGGCTGTGCCACTTATCAAATGTGGCATGCTGAGACATTTGAATATCCTGAGTTTCAATGTTTCCTTAATAATATTGGGATAAAACATTATGGTATTCTTAAGATGATTAAATTTAAAAAGAATTATGAAGTATCAACTATAGATTAACTGACTTCAGTGCATCTACAGGATTATGGAAATGATTCTCTGTATTTAAATATCACCTTTTAATTGTAATACAAGTTTTCCTAGTAATATCTAGGTTACAAATAAAGCAAATGTTCTTTTAGAATAATGTGATTTCCTTTAATAAAATATGGGGACATCTACTGCTCTTACCAGATATTTTATAATTTTATACTGCATGGAAAAGTAAATAATGACATTTTAGTCAAGTGAAAAATTAGAACATTATACCTTCAAATTTATTCTAAAGATATGGCTGAAAACACTATTTACATGAGGTACAGCCCTTCTTTAGAAAAAAAAAAAAAAAGCACGGTACTTATAGAAGCTATTTACCCTCCCCCCCAAATGCTCACAGACTTAATTACAGCATTAACTAATTTAAATACATAAAATTTATTTCATGCATCCTGTCACATTAGGTGGCTTCATTTTTAATCCCCGTGCTCTTTCTCATATGTCTAAAAAAGAAAAATGTTTGTCACTTTAGACAGTTTATCTCTAGCACTCAAAGTCTTTTAAATATGAAGATAAAAGGTAACATAATGTACCCAAACCATCTTTCATGAAGATGCTGAGTGAAAGAACAAATATTTATCAAATGCTTGAATTTGATTGGTATCATTTTATTGAGTATCTCTAAGGGTAGAGTTAGGTTATTTCAAAACACATAATATTTCAACGTATTTTTGAGATATATCCAAGTGACCTTGACACTAGTAGTAAAGGTTAAATCCTTTTTTTTTTTTTTAAGACAAGATGTATTTATTTATGCATGCAAAAAGTGGGGTACAGGCCAGTGGAGCAGTGGAATGAGAGGATTCACCAGAGACAGAGTGGGGAGCAGGACTGGCATATTCATTGAAATACACTGCTGAGGAGAGTAGCTGGCAGGTCAGGAGAGGTCCACTGCGCCATGTGGGTTACCCTCCCGGCCTACAATCGAACTCATGCTGTGGTGGCTTCCCATAGCTTCAGAGTGCTGTGCTCTAATCCATTATGGAAGCAGGGAGGGCCCCAAAGGTTAATCCCTTTTATAGGGGAAAAAATCTCAATTTCAAAAGCCTATATACTTTAGCAACATAAACAATGTGTAGATCCTGGGCAAAACGAATCAAATGGCATAAAAATTCCTATAAAGTGAAAGTTTTAATAATCTAAACTACAAGCTCTTTAACATCACAGCATTTGTTTTAAAAATTAAAGAGGCCCTCCCTGGTGGCACAAGGGGTTAAAGCACAGCACTATGAAGCTGTCCAAAGCCACTGCAGCACAAGTTTGATCTCTGGCCAAGGAGGTGGTGACCCATATGGGGTGGCAGACCTCTCCTATCACCCCCACTGCTCCCCACAGCAGTGCATTTCATTCATTCTGCCTATTCTGCTCCCCACGCTGTTTCTGGTGAATTCTCTCATCCCTTTTCTCTGCACTTCTGGCCTGTACCCTCTTGTATGCATAAATAAATAAATCCTTCAAAAATGTAGAATTGTGAATAGAAGATAGCAAAATGTCAAAACTGACAGACGACTCTATTTTGTTTGAGATAAATCCCCAATAGATTCTGTATGCGGCAGAACAACAGACTGGAGAGAAAGAATAACGGTTTCTAAAAAGCAGTATCTTATCACAAAGAAAGCATTATAGGATGCTCCCAAGTAAGAAAATACTAGCAAGATCTGAAACTTTCTAGCCAAAGAACAGCATTGCTTTGTGAAGAGGAATCCACTCCAACATACATTAGAAATCCGTGGACAGACCCTCCCTGGTGGCACAACAGGTTAGGATGCAGCACTGCAAGCTGGCCACAGCCACCCCAGTGTGAATTTGCTTCCGGCCCCGAGATGACCCAATGGCACAGCAGACCTCTCCTATCTTGCCTGCTGCTCGCCTCAGCAGTGAACCTGGTCCATCTGCCTGTTCTGCTGCCCACTCTGCCTCTGGGGAATCCTCTCACCACCCCTGCACCTCTGGCCTGTACCTGGGTCAGTTATGTATGCTTATGTAAATAAATATTTAAAAAAAAAAATCTTCAGATTTCTTAAGTTTCATTCCATCATTAAACACTAGTGCTGGAAGGATATTCAAAGATCGTATTCCATCAAGCAGTCACATTTTATAGATCAGAATAATGAAGTCACCTCTAGAATAATTTAGAACAGTAAAGAATGCAAGTTAAAACTGACTCAAATATCAACCAATATCATCTATTTATTCAACAAAATTCAGATATTAGTTGTGGGGAGTGGCCTGCCCAAGACAGTCAAAAAGGCTTTTCTCAATAGATCAGACGAGATCTTTTCCAATAAGTGTCATCTTGACAGGAACTAAATGTCAGTGACGATAACTGGAGCCTGGGAGGCCTCGCACCACTACTTAAGGGCTACAGATTAGTTGATGTTAAGAGCAGTGAAATCGTCAGGGGCTCTTTGTCCTTTTCCCCAATCAAATAAACAGCCCCAGCTGCCATTTTATGACTTAGAAAATAATATGAGGGCTCTTGTCCAGGTGCAGACTTATCAATGATAATGTCTTTTTCACCCAA